TAGAAGCACCCTGTCGGACTTATTGCTTTGTCTTCTTTCTGAAGATTGAGCTGCTTTATTCGACCTACTGGAGTTGTCAGGTGACTCGACAGCTACGGATTTAAGATATGCATTCTGTTGCAGACAACGGAGAGTAAAAACACGACGACTGGGCCAATTACACAGTTTCTTTGTTAATTTAATTTGATTGCAAAATAATTCAAATGAACTGTCGTCAAGATTTGACAGAATAGTTCTGTTTACCCACACACACATACACACTCTGTTTAAAGTGTTTAACAAAGGTAGACCAATATTTGTAAGTCCGAGGTCAAATTTTGATCACAGCTCATAAAATTTTGTTTAATATACTTGTTGATACTTGTTGAATGACTCATGATTGGACAAAGTGGTTTTTAAAAACAAGTGATGTTCCTTTTATATATAAACCTCTGTAATGTTAATTTCGATTAATTTCCCTGAAGAAGTTCGGACGAGATTGCCGAACACAGGAAACATTGGAATTATTCATTTCAATCTCTCTGAGATTTTACAAATATAATTTTTTACAAATGTTTGCCTACCGTTTATTGGAATTAATTCATCTGATTTCTGTGTGACGAAACAGCTACCCTAAACTGAGGATAATTATTATTTCTTGTTGTTATTCCCTTAGGCTCCAAGTGGAATATACGGCTTCAACAGCCCATCTTCGTCCTATTCTTCGCGATCCCCTTACACTGGCCTCACTAGGGTCCAGGGTCTCTCATCTCCTTCTCACCACATGATCTCATCTATACCACTGTCGAAACAACACCCAACTCGTCGTTTCCTATTCGGGCTCCACTCGAACGATGGCCTGGTGCGTGATGTCATTCGATGGTCTCCTTAGGGGCGTCTATCCGATCCATCTCCATTTTCTTCGGAATATGTCTTGAGGAATAGTTTCTTGATTGGTTCATTCCAAGAGTTTCTTCCTGCTCATTCTCTCTTGCCGTCCATCCAATCTTCAATATACAGCCAGCGAAGACGGTAACTGATAATAAAAGTCTGCATCTGGCTGTTCGAAATGGTCTTCGTGACTCACACGCAGTGTAAGTTTCTGATCCATATGAAAGAAGTGACTGACTTAACATTAGCTCTGGAAATGTCGATTTTGTTGTTTATGCTGTGGAGTGGAGAAGATTTCCAAAGTGATTTCAAAGTGATGAAGGTCTGTCTTGGATTTCCGATGCTGACTGGCTTCGACATCCCCATCCATGTCTGTTGGCTGTAGTTGAAAGGATGTCGCCTAGCCGGATAGTTGAATGAGCTGATGTCTTTCAAATTTATTCCATTGATAATGACTGGTGCTTGCTGTTGTTGTTGTTGTTGCTTGGCTGGTTGGTTACCTTCATCACCTGCATTTTCTCTGTGTTTACTTGAAGTCCTGTCTTTGTTGCCCTCTCTTCTTCCTCCAGTTTGTTGATTTTTGCGTATATGTCTTCGAGTTTGTGTGATATTAGACATCAGTTATCTGCGAAGTTGAGATCTTCTGTAGTCCTCTTCTCGGCCCAAAATATTTCTGTCTTCTCACCTCCCACATGCGGTGTTCTATACAAGCCAGTCGATCACGATTAAGAATATCATCGGTGATAGTAGGCAGCCTTTTATTACTACTATCTTCACAAAGAGTCCTTCTTTGAGTTTTCCGTATGGATCACCTGACACGCGGCATTGTCATATAGCCAACTGTTGAATGAGGTTGATAAAGACTTGGAAACTGCACACTGTAGTGTTGAAATAGTTTCCAAATTACTTCGCGGTCAACGCTGCACTGTCGAAGGCCTTTTCAAAGTCGTTGAGGTTAGCGCATAGGTTTGACTGCCATTTTATGCTCTGTTCGATGATGATGATGCGTAGAGTTGCAATTTGATCAGCACATGATTTGCCTTTCGTGAATCCAGATTGTTCCTGGCTGGTGGAGTTCTGCATCCAACGTATTTTTTTTGTCTTTCGAGGATGACGCGACTTAGTGTTTTACTTGGTGTGGACACGAGCATTATTCCGCGCCAGTTCTTTCAGAAGACTAAAACTAAGAATAATGCTTTAATTCCATTGTTGCAGACATTCCAAGAAATTTCGATATAGATTTCGATACTAACGAATATCGCTTAGCGATAACCGAAAAGCTAAATTCGAAGAAATATTTAGCAAAGTTAAACTGTAGCGATCCATGGAATGCGAACGCACAACTGACCTCGAGGCGACCAATCAGAAAAACCAGTGGTTTTCACATAAAAATGAAACAAGATAGAATAAAGTATAATTATATTTCAATAGTTTACACACAATGATAAGTTTTGTTATTGGTAATATTTCGAGCAAAATTACTACCCGTGTTCACACCACTGTTGGAATTGTTTTATTCACATATTTATGATTTGTACTCATATATATAGTTCATTATTTTTGCTCATTCATGTTTTTCTTTTGTATTTGAGTTATATTCCACGTTCATTCATGTTTTTGCATTCAGAATTATATTCCAAGTTGTTGATAGTTGTACTGAGTCACCCTTGTTACATGTATCCGGTGTGACCTTAATGAATTTGGATTCTGTTATAAGTCTCTCTTTCCATTTGTTCATGTTAGTTTTTAGAATACTCACATTGTCCCAATCGATATTGTGGTTTTTGTCCCACGCATGTGCAGCTATCGATGAATTTTTTTCAAGATTCTTGCAGGCTTGTGTTCCTGTTGGTTGACCTTTGATTAGGCGTCTATGTTCATTCACTCTTATTTTGAGTGATCTGGACGTTTGCCCCACATATTTAGTCGGACAGTCAGCACAAGATATTTTGTAAATCAAGTTGTTTTTATCCATAATTTTTATGGGATCTTTCAGTTGATTTATTTTATTTTTGATTAGATTTGTCGCTTTGAAAGTTGTGTGAATGCCGATATTTTTGAGGTTTCTTTGAATTGCCTCTGATGTACCATTTTTATATGGTATTGTGACTGTGTTTTTGCATTCTTCCATCTTGTTATTCTCCGTTTTTACTCTCTTTTTTATATTATCTTTTATAAATTGTTTTGGGTATTTGTTTTCGAGTAGCATTTTGAATAGGACGTTTATTTCTTTACACTGGTCCTCAGGCGTTGTTGTAAGTCTACGTATTCTATCTGCAAGACCTTGTATTAATCCTCGTTTTACCGTGATTGGATAAAGCACATTAAACAGGATATTTTACCCTGACGTGAATTTTAAAAAAGATACCTCTCAATTATTGTAATGAGGAGTATCAGCTTTTAGGTTAAACAAGTTATACACGTATCCCGAAGACAACAGAAACCTTAAACGTGCAGTACTTAACGCCACCGAGGAAGTGAATTGGGCTCCCCTTCAAACAGTTGATATTGACTAACAAAAATATCTAATGAACACCAGGTATGTGAGAATGACAAATTTTAGAGTCGAGAAATGAAGAATACGTCCCTAGTAGTATCGTGTTATATTGGCGTCAAGTGTGGCGGGAGGTGGGGAGGGGGAGACAATTGGCGCATGGTTAGCAATATTCTTTATTCGGTAGAACTGTAACAACAGAAGACAAGGGCCAGTCAACAGATCGTTTATTAAGGAAAATCAACACATATATATAGCTTTTCATGTACATTATTATAGATTATTGTTAGCAGAAAAACACAGTCTTCTGATTGGTTGTTTCTCACAGAAAGTTAACCTTGCATCTCTTTGTGGCTGTTTCTTGAATGCCAGATCATCTATATGCTAACTGTATCCGCCTACGCAAAGTCTTTGTTCCTATTTTTCTCACGACCAATATTTGGGACATAAACCCTGACGTAAATTTTTTTTATCCTTCACATTCCCCAGTGGAACATAGGGCTTCAAGCTAGTGGCTTGAAGTTTCTGTAGCAGTGTTTATTTTACAGGACGGGGTTGCTAGCCTCATGCCCAACCTTTCCTCTTCACCAGCATTATTTCTGGCTCAGCGAGGTGAAGGAGTGCGTTGGTCGGGGTTTGAACCCCGGACCCCGAGGACCCCAACCTCGGGACGGTAAAAACCAATGGTTGGAAACAATTGGTGACATGGCTCAAAATCGTTCTCAGTGGCGCAGATGCATCCACTCCTTGTGACTTATGATTTCCGATGAAACTGTTCGTTCTTCGTTATTACTATTCGTTTTGTCTCACACCTCTGTTTACTGTCTATATTATGCATTTCTCCTACCTTCTTCTCTTGCTTTGTGTGCTACATGGAGTGTGGCGACTTGAACTGCCGCACATCAGTGCAAAGTTCTATGTCGAAAACAGACAGACGAACCCCGGACCATGTGCATGGTCGGCGAGCGTCCTAACCGCTATGCCACCGACGCACAAACATTATCAGGGCGAGGCGCATGCAAATAACACACAGCCTTCTTCAAACCTTGCACACAACCATTAGGTCGCGTACTATCCCATCGCTCTTGACGTAAATTAATGTCTACTAATTTTGCAAGCAGCCAGCTCTCACCACAGAACCATAAGTGAAATATATCATAGCTAAGATTTATGAAGTACTTGGACAAGCCCATGTAACACAGAAGCCCCCGCTTCGACAACCTTTTTGGTAGCCATTATTGCATATCATCACCCTTTATTTAGAATGTTTTACTTTGGTAAGCATAATCACCATCTCACCATTTTCATTTTTTTTAACACCAGTAAGGTGTGTATGGTGCGTCGGTGACAGAGCGGTTAGGACGCTCGCCGACCATGCACATGGTCCGGGGTTCGATCCCCGGCCGACGCACTGCTTAACCTCGATAAACCAGTAATAAAGCTGGTAAAGAGGAAAGGTTGGGCATCAGGTTAGCAACCCCATCGTGTAAAAATTAACACTGCTACAGAAACTTCAAGCCTCTAGCTTGGAGCCCTATGTTGCACTGGGAATGTGAAGGAAAAAATAGTGTGTATTACACGCCATTCTATTTGATGATATTAATTAGACGTACTGTTTTTTTGTATTGATTATTAGATGGTCGAAAAAATGCGCCTATTCGACACGGATCAATTACATCAGCTGGTTTTCTATCGGATACATGCAATGTTGTGAAAAAATTCATTGCAAATTCACCTGATACTGTGGATTTCAGTTTGATGGCTTTATGTCCTGAAAACAACTGAGCGAGAGAGAGAGAGAGAGTGAGGGCGGTGAATCGATGTCCCATTTCTTCTTGTATCTTTTGATTCATGATAATCTCGCTTTTTTTGATACTCTTTATATAATGAATACATTTATCAATGTGTTTTACCTAATCAACGTGATTCTGTGTTGTGTTGCATGTTTGAGTGAAAAGGTTCGATGAGTATAAGCCTCATAGAAAAACGGTGGTTCAAATGGACTAATAGGCAATCTTGTTTTATTTTGTTTTTTTGAGAAAGAACAGTATACAAGTTTCATAAGTCTGCTAACTTTTTTAGGCTCAGAGTTTAGTTTAAATCTTACGTAGGTAATAGTTTTAGGTTGTGTTTTTGACTGTGCGTGTTAGTTGGATAGGGTGGATGGATTAGAACGTCATTTGGTGGTGAGTGTTCAGCGGTTCATTTTATCACATTATAATGTTGCATGATTGTGGGGAGAATTCTGGTGATAAAATGTGGGTTCACTCGTTCACAGGAATACGTTGGACTGATAACAAGACTCTGGGAGATCTAGATTTCGTGGATGATTTATGTCCATTGTCACATAAACTCAAACATATATAGGCGGCAAAAAGCAGGAAGTCGGTAGAAGAGTTCCAGAGGGTCCTGACGTTAAAAGCTCCTATATGAAGTTGGCGACGTGGCTTTATAAGGCTATTTGGGATGTTTCTATGGCTCTCATCGTTGTTTGCGGTCGCAGAGTGAAGTGAAGATGACTCACTAGCCTGATGAATAGTGCTAACTGTAGTAGAAAAGCAAGATGAGGAAGGTGATGTGAGTAAGGGAGAGTGATGCTCAGGTAGGCTTCGTGTGCTTTGGGAAGTGTGTGGGCGGTTGTTACTTCCCGGCTGCCCACACCGTGGAAGTTGGTTGAGTCTTCGGGTACCTGAAATGGAGAAAAGGTTAGTGTTGCGTGACCGCCGAGCCCAGGGGACAACTGCTTGAGGTCGGTCATACGCGGCCTGTTTTTGTTTGTTCTTTCTTGTTTGGTGTGTTTCAGTAGCATATTTATCACTTCTGCCCTGTGACAGCAGCAGGAAGCGCGGTCGTTGTAAATCCGGGCCCCGACCGATCCGGCATGAATTTGTTTGAATCATAGTATTGGATTGGGTAACTGCTTTTTGTCTTACCGCTATCCAAACAACCCTTCTGGCATGGTAGGACCTACAGGAACATAAGTTCCAGCCAGTGTAGCTCGTTGGGTCATTGCGATATGCAAGCCCGACCACCACGTCAAGGTAGGCAGGCAGAGAAGACAGAAGTGATGAAGGTACCTAACCAACAACAAGAAGCACGAATTACTATCAACATAAATTCGAATGTGGTCACTTTCTTCGCTTACCTGACCAGGTGGCCTCCTTTAAACTACAGCTACACGGCATAGATGAGGATGTCAAAATCAGTCAGAATCAGAAAGTCAAGACAGACATTCATCACTCTGAAATCTTATTTAGAAATCAGAAAGATTGAGCGAAGAAATATTTACTTTTCAATTGGATTGATTGGTTACAGGATTTCATCGCTTAGAGAACCATTGCAAAACCGATTAGGAGTACTGGACAACTGTTTCGTCCTAGTTTGGGACTCTGCATCAGTTTGCACCCACCGCTAGGTTTCAAACTCAGGACCTTCCAGTTACAAGGCGAGGTCGTAGACCATTGAGCCACTGGGACCCATTCCAATAACCAACCCATGAATTCTAACCTCCCAAACTAGGACGAAACAGCTGTCCAGTACACCCAGCTGGTTTTCTAGTGGTTCTCTAACTGATGGCAACTCATGATGAAATCCTCCAACCAATCAAACAAAATCCCTACAAAAACCAATACTCGAAAATTGATCTGATGCTCACTAGCGACTGGCCCTGTTCAGGTAGGTAGTTACTTGGGGTTCTAGTGGGAAGTCGTGTCCAGTAGGATGCAGCACATAGGTGTGAGGACAAATACTCACCGAAGACATTGTCTGGCTGTCGCGCTATGCCGTCAATTGGCAGAAGTTGGAATTCATGGGCTGGCCATTGGATCGGGTCCCAGTGGCTAAGTGGTCTACGAGCTCGCTGGTCTTGCAACCAGAACGTCCTGGGTTCCAACCCCGGTAGGTGCGTACTGACGAGGAGTCCCACACTAAGATGGAAGAAACAGCTGTCCAGTACTCACAGGCTGGTTTTCCAATGGCTCTCTAACCGATTTCAGCTCATGATGAAATCCTGTAACCAACTCTAAGAAATATTCTCATTGAAAATGGCTAATACTCCGAACGCTTCATCACAAAATGTCCCCGCAAATCTATTCTGTCAAACCTGATCAAGTCTGGACACTCAGTGAACCACACGCAAACCAACATCAGAATAGTCTACAGAATGAATGGAAATCTTGCCAATTGAGTACAAATCAAAATCCCCTTTTCTCTTTAAATTGTTTAAACAAATCATTGTCTAAAACAGTACTCCATACCACTATGTGATATAAATTGTGAAAATGACACGCCAAATCAATTTTAGACAAAAATGTGACATTAGAAAGTATGTACCCAATTCCACCTATAACCTCGAATATAAGCCAATAAGAATATGCCGTTGGAGAGTCAATGTAGTCTTATTTTTAGTTAGATTACGTGGAAAGGTTTTATAACAATCGATCACTACTTCATTTGACTTCACAATTCTTCCTTCTCGATGAACAAATTTAATTTTGGAAAAAAGTGCACAAATTGTTTCAAATTTTATGCAATTCATTTCGCTCTACCCCATTTCCTATCGAATCATATTGAACTTACTCAAGGTCACTTTCATTTAGTTTTTTAAAACTCTTATTGATCAGTTAGACTATGTCATAAGTTAAAGGTTGTTCCAGTGCCTAAATCAACAAGTGGACCTACTGTCAAGTTTAAACCCATTGCTATTACCTCACCTTTTTTAAAAGTTATGGAAAGACATTCTACTTAATCTTGAACCCTCTTTAAAGCCTTTCAATGAGCCCAACCAGTTTGCTTATAAACATAATAGGTGTACCTTAGATGCCGCTGTTGTTCTATATCATTATGTAGTCTCTAGTTTAGATATGGGAGCTAAATACGTTAGGTGTGCCTTCCTTGATTACACATCTGCATTTGACTCGGTACCTAGGTCTCTCTTGCTAAGTAAGCTTGCCGCAACACAGGCTGAGAGCTGGACAAACAAGTGGTTGCATTCCTATTTTTCTGATAGGAAGCAGTACACCGTCTACAATGGAAAGTCGTCCACTACCTACCTCACTCACTTTATCTGGTATTCCTCAAGGTGCTGTTCTTTCTCCTTTTCTGTTTTCTTTTTTCTTAAATGACTTGCTCCATTCTGATATAGCCACTTTCGTCAAGTATGCTGATGACCTCTCTGTTTCCATGCCTGTCAACTCTCAGTCAGATTGTTCCAAATTAAATTACTTTCTGTCGGAAATTAGTCAGTGGTCCTCTTCAAACGGTCTTAGGCTAAATCCGTCTAGATGTCAGGGAGTCAATTCCACTTTCAGACGAAAATGTGACCTACAACAACTAGCTAGCTCACATGGCCCCACTATCATTGATGGCATAGAGGTTGAAATTACATTTAATGTCAAGTACCTTGGACTGAGTATTTCTTCCGATCTTTCGTGGTCCTGTCACATCTTGCTAGTTACTAGAAAGATGTTTCGCTTAACGTCCTACATTAGGAAGTTAAGGCAGTCTGGTATAAAGCAGTCTTTGCTTTCTCAGTTTGTCAATTCTTGTATTCTAACCATCCCTCTTTACTGCTCCCCTCCCCCCATTAATCTTTCCTGGACTACTGAAGAAAGATTTTGCTTTGCTGAGAAGGGCACTAAAAGCTGTTAGTAGGACAAGTGGGATATCGTTAAACCAACTGGTTAACACCATTGTGGATAGACATATAATGTCATGTAAGAAACTAGCGAATTCTATATTGTCAGACCCTGAGCATCCTCCCTATACGCAGCTCTCTCCTTGCATTTCATCTGGTAGAACTAGAAGCAGCTATAGGAGGCTATATGCTAGGACTACCAAGTAAAAAACTCCACAATACCTTATCTGGCACAGTTGTTATGTGATGAGAAATCCGTTAGGGGTATGACACGATCGACTTACTGCGGCACTCTAACAAATAGTTCCCAATAGTTTTTGTTTTCCTTTCTGTGTTACTATTATATTGTTGTTCACATCTTCTGTTACACACTAATTTTATATTTCATATTCCTGTGGTGCATTGTTTAAATATGTGAATGCAATGCTGGTCTTTTTTATTTCTTTCATTTATCTTCTTGTTGTTGTTGCTTTTTGTTTTTAAAATCTTATAAAATTTTATGAGGTAATTAGATGCAATATTGTAATGCACGCTGAAAATTCCATACCTGTACCACAAATACTGTTTGGAATAAAGCTGTTATTTCAAAAACTTCATGCATTTCTTCCCATTAATAAACTTGAACAAAGCAAGAACAACAATTGTACCAAGATAATATGAGCTCATCTTTTATTATTTCGAGGATTCTTCTCAACTGGCTTCAACCTGAACGATAGAAATATAAATTGAATTAAAGATTTGAACATACTTTTCCACGATCACCAGGAGTAATTGGTAGGAAGTAAAAGTAACATTAGTCCAGAATGATTTAACTAATTAAGAGTTACAAACACTGATTATTTATAGAATAATTAGACAATTGCTTGAGGACAGTCAAACACGGTCTGTTTGAACTCGACACTCTCTACAGAGTGGAGAGACAGAATAACTGGCATGCTGGTCGTCTGAGGTAAACACCATACTGCTGTTACTTCCCTGTTCCCCTGAAGTACAACTTTGCCTACAAACACCCAATATAGTGTGGAAAAAATCTTACACTATGCTGGAAAATGCTTTTAGTCTAATCGCTATCCTGAAGGAACAATAGTTCCAGGCAGTGTAGCTTGTTTGGCCCTTGCAATATGCAAGCTCGACCACCACGTCAAGGTAG